AAACCAACCTTTTTTGTATCCAAAATTTCTACACATTTTCTCTAAATAAAACACACGTTTTATGTCTGATGAAATTCTAGTGAGCTTTGGTAATAAACAAAGCTCCCATAAAGTAAACCTCCTTTAGTCTTCCTTAATGATTTTTGCTAATTTTGTGGTCAAAAATGTAATCACTGAACTGTTTCTCTCATAATAAATTGAATAAAAATTAAAGTCTAGCTTTAAGTTTGTCTGTTAAGTACAGAATCTGTCTGAAATCAATTTTTGGGCTGTATCCCTGAGTCAGGCCACTCATAGACCTATTCCTAAATAGGGAGAATTAAATTATGTGTTTTTTGTCCTACAGAAGACTTTCTGTAAAACTGCACTTGTGGAAGACCTGTGAGTGTTCAGAGATTGTCCTGGTTCTGTCCAGACTCAGAAGTTTGGTTTTAGTATTATAGTTAGACTTTAAAAAACATATCCCTGTGGGAGGTAAGTATTGAGAGTGAATGACCCTCTATGCTCTGAGTGCTCAAGTTGCTCCTGTAAACCTAAATCTCTGTATTAATAGTCTATGGAATGTCACATTAACATGAAACTATGTCAGAGGCATAGATCCTTTTCATTTGCTCCCAGTATTTTCTTTTACTGAAAAATCACAATGGACAAACACGAGATAGGGCATTATATAAATTATATTATTATTATTTTTTTATATTTTGTACATAGAATGTCTGGATACTGGTAGCCTGGTGGCCTATAAGCCAGCATTCTATGATTAAGTGTTCAAAAGACTATTTCCTGAAGGCCATTAGAAAGGTTGTCACGGGTCAGACTGAACAGAAAACTATAGCCTGTCTTACATCACAATTTTCTTCAGCCCTAATTTATGCTTGAGCAAGTGACATGTATATAGTTTGCCTTACTATGCTTGTGTACTCCCCAATAAAGAGGCAGATTGCTGTTGTCCGACATGATTTATCTCGCCACACTGCCCTCTGTCTGCATCGGACAAAAAGTTAATTAAAATCCAGCACTGTCTTATTCCATCCTAAACAGCATAAGCAAATCATCTTCTAGCATTTATAGCCCTTATTATTTCTGTTTGAATAGCAATGCAAACAGTGTCCGGCATTCTTTTGTCATTTTAACCCTTACACTTTATTTATGAATCGAATGTTTTATTTGTGGGTGATTTTGCACTCATCTGACGTGGTAACCAACGTCTTGAAGAGAAGTGTAGGCCTAGCTTTGGAGAGCCCTATTTGTCAACCGCCTCTTCTGCTGATTCACCACATACGACCGCACACTTTGTCAGAGAAGACAGCACTATTCCCACAGAGAAGCAGCGATATTCATCTTTTTTTCTTCTTCTTAGGAACAGTAAATGTGTCAGGGAGGGGGCAGATCACATCCAAGACTCGGGCCAATATTAAAGGGAGAGTCATTTTTATTTGACATTTCATAAACATTTCCTATGTGTTCCCAGATGATGTGCACATAAACATTATTCAAAAATAAACAAATAAATAAAAAACACTGGGCAAATTCTTGTTATTTAGTGTTTTGGTGTTGGGAGGTTCTGAACTATACATGAGGCATTGCCTGCCCAAGTATAAGATGACGAGAATGAGAAATGCATTTATTCTCAATACGCTGGGTAAGGTATAGGTAACCCAAGTTCCAAGTCCAAGTTCATAATTGTAGTAGCTCTTTTAAAACCAGCAAGACCACTGGTTATATGCCCTCTTTTTTAAACAAACTGTAAAGAACATTCAAACACACTGGGTCCTTAGCGCATGTAATGCAGAATAATGCAGTCTAGACTTATCAGAATGATACTTGGCTTGCAAAGGAGAAATTAAATTCTGTCAACAGGACAAAAAGTTTTTATTTATTTTTTATTTAATATATTTAGCAGCTTTTCCAAGCCTTTTCTTCAGTTCTGGTCAGATTGCTGGTTGACACTGCCTTATATCTGCCTGAGGAGCTAACTGCACTGGCTTTGTCATGATCCAAACATTATACAATGACAGAGGTCCATAACAATCCTTCAGTTAAGGTAGTCCTGACCATGCCTAGCAGCATGATTGTGGAGATTGGTGCCCGGATGTGGCAAGGATGGGTCAAATGCAGAGGACAAATTTCCCCACGGGGATAATAAATGGCTTACTCTGTTTTCACAGGCCTTGACATTTCTCTGATAAGTCTGCAGAGCAATAAAGAGAAATAAAGGGCAAATTAAATACATGTTTCAGTAAAACCAAGTGTCTCCACAGTTTGTATCCTTCCTATTGAAAGTCAGACCCACTTGAAAGACATGGATTGTCCCATTCCCACTTATTTTGGGGTTGAGAGTTGCTGAAGTCACTTTGAAATATATATAATGTTCGATATGTACTTAAGTGCATGCCATATTCTGGAATATGATGTTATAATAATTGTCAACAACATGCATGTACATACAATTACTGCATTTCCTTCTGTGTTTTATTTCATCATACTTTTTGGGAGTGGC